CCTTCGAAACCGCCACAACAGGAGACCTGGGCACGGAAATGGGGCACTGGGGCACAAACCGGGGGATTCGGGAGCGCTGCGGGGGCACACGGGAGTGGGGGGAGGGAGCGACAGTGTGGGGTCACCCCTGGGTGTTGTGGCAGTGCCAGGGGGCTGCCACAGGTGTGTCCTGCAGGGAAACCCCCCTGTGCTCCCCACTCTGTGGCCAGGGATGTGCTGGTGCCGGTGCCATCCCAGGGGCAGGTGGGTGACACTCTGGTGCCATGCCAGGGGGTGGGTGGGTGACATTTCAGCGCCATCCCGGGGGGCGGGTGGGTGACATCCCAGTGCCATCCTGATCAACAGGTGGGTGCCATCCTGGTGCCATCCCCATGGACAGGTGTGTGACACCCCAGTGCCATCCCGGGAGGTGGGTGGGTGACATCCCAGTGCCGTCCTGGGGAAGAGGTAGGTGCCATCCCAGTGGTTGGGTGGGTGCCGTCCCAGTGTCATCCCCGTGGGCAGGTGTGTGACACCCCAGTGTCCTGTGCCCAGTGCCAGGGAAGGGTCCAGAGCTTTGGACCCCGATAAGGCCCTGGAACCCTGATAAAGTGCCGGGAACCCTGATAAGTGTCTGGGTCACGATAAGTGTCTGGGCGGGCACTGACGGGCAGGGCTGGGCCATCCCAGCCCGGTGCCATCCCGCCACAGCGTTCCCTTGGGGTGCCTGAGGGGTTCTGAGCCCCTGAACCCATCGGTGCCACCTCTCAGGGTGTCCCTGCCCTCCCCTTTATGACCCTGGGCGGTGATAAGGGGGGTGGTCCCGCTCTGGCACCTTTGCCCGGGTCCCACACCTGCGACACCAGCCCAGCCCTGTCCCCGTCACGTCCCGCAGGGCGGGCACCACGCCCACACACACAGCACCCCAAAACCAGCCCCCTGGCACCTTTATTGGGCACAGCACAGCCCCCGGGCCCTGGGGGGATGCAGGGGGGCACAGCCCCCAGGCCCCCAGAAGGGCACAGGGGGGTCAGGGGGTGGGCACAGCCCGGCCCTTGGCACCACGCCGGGAGAACTTGAAGCTCTGCAGAGGGTTCCTGGTGCCACGGGGCTGGAAAAGAAGAGCAGGGAGGGGATCTGCAGGGGGCTCAGGGGGGATATTTGGGGGTGTTTGGGGGCATTTTGGGGTTCAGGGGAGGGAGTTGAGGGAGTGGGGAGGCATTTGAGGGTGTAGCAGGGAGATCTGGGGGGATTTCAGGGAGCAAGGGGGGATTTGGGGCATTTTGGGGGGGTTGGGGGCTCGGGAGATTTAGGGGAGTGGGGGTGATCTGGGGGTGTTTTGGCTTTGCAGGGGAGGATTTGGGGGTCCAGGGGGTAATTTGGGGTTCAGGGGGAATTCTAGGGAGTGAGGGGGATTTGGGGGTCTGTGCAGGGGATTTAGGGGTGTTTGGGGACATTTGGGGTCTCAGGGAAAGGATGTGGAGGGGATTTGGGGTTTCAGGGAGGGGGTTTGGGGGTCACTCACAGCAGGTTTCCCCCTGTGGGCACTGGGCCCTCGGAGCACTCGGGGGCCCTTTCGTTTCCTGGGGCCAGGCCTGGCAATGCCCCGGAGGCTGGGGGGCACTGGGGGGACACTGGGGGTTAGTCCTGCCCCCCTTCTGCCCCGTTTTCCCCCCAGTTTCCCCCATTTTTGCCCATTTTCCCCCCAGTCCCCCCCATTTTTGCCCGTTTCTCCCCCCATGCCCCTGTTGTGCCCCGTTTTTGCCCGTTCCCCCGTACCCAGGTAGTCTGGCACGTTCCTCAGGTGAGGTTTCACGATGGCCGGGTGCAGGGGCTTGTCATGGCGCAGCACGTGCAGGTCCCGGGGGTTGTCCTCGAAATA